GACCCCTAGTGGTCCTGGGACCCCAGTTTGAGAACCTCTGCACTAGGTGACAATACACTGACAATATATGAACCCAAATACAGCTGTGGAAAGTCAATGATAAGTCTTAAGGGAGCAACATGACAATATGTGACTCATGTCTGTTGAATGTTCATGGGTTTATTGGGTTATTTTAGTGCTTTAGAATTAGGGGACCTAAATATTTGAGTTAGTGCTTTAGGGCAAGTGGAACTAATTTTTAGATTAGTGCTGCCCACTGTTCATTTATTTGTTGTGATTTAATATTTTATACATGCATAAACAAAAAAAAAAAAAGGTTAGGAACCACTGGTATAAAGTTTATAACTGTGATGATGAGGAAAACAGCACGTTTCCCAGAAATATCTTTGTTTGATTCTTAAATGAAAGAAAAAAAAAGCTGCTCCACATTCAATGTCTTAATTCCCTTTTCAGCCCCTTTTTTTATTTTGGTTCAAGCAAGAAAAAAGGATGAATTAATAAACTAAAATAGGTCGAACGCCGGAACCCAAGTTCTGTTCACGTCTGAAAGAGTGAATTTCCCGCCTCCCTCCCAGAAGCAGTGGAGCTGTCATCATGGCCCGGGGCAGGACTCGCCTCCCTGCATGGTAACTGAGCAGGTGGGTCTGAGCTGCAGAAATAAACCAAACTCGGCGTGTTGACATGTTACAGTCAGTGGAGCGAAAGCTCGCCACCTTCCATCGAACCTGCTTAGAGGTTTCACACATTACAGTTCAGGACTTTTAATGCATAAAGAACCGGTCCGGTGCTGGGCTTATTTCATGAGACCAGGCTGCAAATAGAGCTCATCTCGTTTACATTATAGTTTTGAAAAGAATATTTTCAATATGTTCACTGTTAAAAATTCAGTACTATATTTTGGCATAAACATCCCATCGTGTTCTGACTGAGTTGCTGATAACTATTAGAACATCATTTGAAAGTTGTCTCTTTAATAGCTAAAATATGTTCTGAAACATTTTAAGACCAGAGACAGATATGCATTATTTTATTACATGAGGCATCAAGTGAGATGTCAATTACTCGTGAATTTTTCCATCTGAGAATCACAAATGATAAGATCATAAAAACCAAACAAGAACAGAAGAGCCATGTTTCCAGGAGGGAGAGGAAAAACACATCTTCAAAAATATTTCCAAGAGAATTGCTACTATTACAAAAACCGATTCTTGAATGCAACAATTTTTTTTACAGTTTTCCTGCTGAAAACGATGCTTGTATCCATAACAGACAGCGCTTTTTAGAAGCTGAAATAAACTGCATCTCTTATGGGAGAAATAAACATTGGAGATAACAGCAGCTAATAAGGGCAAAGCTGTGTCATCGCAAAAGTGATTTCCAGCCCGAGGACAGCAACTGCAGTGTGTAACTCAGAAAAATGCTGCTGCTTTGCTCCTGAAACACATAACTGTCATCATGTGAGATGGCAGCATTCTGCATGTGATGGTTTAAATTTCAAACGAGCAGCCATTGTTTCAGGTTCATGCGTCACGTTCAGCATTTCCCTTCTCTGAACCTGCAAAAAAAAGGATCTATTTAAAAGTATTAGGCTGTATTGCAGCTACATGATGCTTTGTTGTTTTCTCCGTTCTGGAAGTATATTGACTTAATCAGTTCAGCGTTCCTCGTGGACTCTTAGATCTGAAGTTTCCTTTAAGAACTGCTTTCAGCTGTCGCGGTTTGGAGTATTCAAAGGAAACTCAACACAGTGGGATAAAACATCCAGCTGTCAGCCGACACACAAATGTAAATGCAAATGCGGTTTCTGCATGTACCGTTTTCATGTGCACGGCAACCCGAGGCCGGTTTGTGAGGTGAACAACAATGGTCCTCAAAGTGCTGCCGTGGTATCAAATGTACAAGGAATGTAATTTTTGTTTTAAAAAAAAAAGATGCTAAAGGCTTATTAAATGGATATTTTATTCACCAGCTAGCCCCACTTTCACAGTTTTCATGCATCGTCTACCTAATACCTGCGGGTTGAAAATGTTTAAGCTGTTGAAGGAATCATGTGGCAACAGCTAATTGACAAATTATAACATTGCATTTCATTTTCTATTGTCGTAAATACTCCTCTGAGACTGCAGACCCCTTTGTTTCTCCTAATGAATATGGCCTTGGTAACAACTAATTACTCACTAAGCTGCACACGAGCAAAAAAGCTGCCCGATCCTCACCTGTTACTCAGGGTCTTCAAATATGAACAATGGAGTTTGCTAAAATCCAGTAATTTATTCATTAATATTTACTGCATTTTTATGACTATTTTTAAAACTGTTTGTGTTTTGGACAACAATAGGTCTTAAATTTTTCTTTCTTCCAGATTATTAACTTAAAATTCTGTAC